CCATGGCGCTGGGGCACGGAGGAGGCAGCAGCCGGACCCCAAGCCCTCATGCCGGACGCAGGCTGCTCTGCCGGCACTGCGCGACCCGCGTCGCCCGTCACGACCGCTGCGCACTGGGCATGCGCGGGGGTGTCACTGGGCATGTGCGGGGATGTCAGTGGGCATGCGCAAGGAGCTGCGCATGCTTAGAAGAGGCCTGGGGGGGGTGCGCCTCCCGCGTCTGGTGGCTGATGGGAGTTCGTCTTCGGCCGCTGGGCTTGTGGGGTGATAGGTTTAGCCGCCGGCCTCGGGGGCGATAGAGACCCATTTATCTTTGCAAATCTGTGCAAATCCACTGTGTCGCCTAGGTTCTTCGGCTTTTGGAATGATCAGACAGTTTTAAAGGATCGATTATTCCTGTTAACTAGTAATTATTAAATAAGAAAAAAAAATAACAAAATGTGGCTCATGCTTTGCAGTTTCTGGAGCATTTCCATTCATATAATGACACCTGCAGTTTGGAAGCCCAGAGGTTATTTAGCAATCCTCAAACCACTTAGTTTACATTTAAGTTTACGCAGCCAAAAAAACCCAGCTGTCATAAGGAATGATGTAATAACTTGGTAGTTAAGAATGAGATACACACGATTTATGTTCTGTTTAATTAAACGTGATGAACAAGATGAAACATACACAAGATGAACCAATTTCAAGGTACCATTATTTTGTGCACTAAGGAGAAAGAAAAAAAAAAAGAAAGCTTATATTGAAAGACCCCAGGCCAACAATGTCAGGCCTAGTTGCAAAACCACCGAGGCATGTCACAAACCTACGCAGGCACCAGAGGTGTTTTTCAGATAATTAGTTAGGTGTAACCGGTTGAAAAAGGACAGAGAACCAGGTCCCCAGGCATGCCTGAATAAGCAGGAACAAGAGGACCAGAGTGCAAATATGTAGCTTTTATGTGGCTCTTTTTCAGTAGCATACAGTGAAAAACAACTTTGCCCTTTAGGTAATCTATATGCTGGGTTTAAAATTAATAAGAAACCTATTGTTTACCGGGCGAAAACTGCCCCTTTACCCTATAAAAATTTCTGTATCCCCAAGCCCAGTGTGCCAGCTCACCAAAGCTCCGGCTAAGGTTCTGCTGGGCACCCGCAGGCGCCTGTGTCCCAATAAACAAACCTCTTGCGCTTTTGCAGCCAGTGTTTTGTGTGATTCTCCTTGGGCAGGGAAACGGGGGTCTTTTAATATACTTTATTTCTAAAAATAGCAAAACACCCCAATTTCAGTCTTTAAGATATGAAAATAGTAATTCTGAGAGCATAATACATACAGTATATATACATACATATTTTTAAAATGTCAGCCAATAGATAAATTTACTCTTCCATAGTAGTAATGCAGAGCAGACTCGTGTTTCACAGATTTCCATTCAATTTCTGCATATGAAGCTGGAGTTTAAAAGACATGAAAGAAATATTTATTCTGCAGTCCACTGGTCTCAGATTGAATGGAGTAGGAAGGCAGTAGAGGAGGAGGCAGTCACAGAAGAGAACTTGGACTTGGTTTTGAGGTCTAAGGAGCACTTGAAACATTACTTCCAGGTGTGAAAAGAGCCCTGAGCAGAGAGAATATGGCAGGTAGATTTTTCACTTTAATGATGTGCTAAATCTTTTTTTTTTTTAAATGCCCAATATTTTCACAGATACTTCTTTGAGAAAATATGTGGTAACTCTTTTTTTTGTGGGTGTGTGTCTTCTAAGCTTTGCCCTCAGCACAATGAGACTGCTTTCAGGAGACCCTTTCAAAGCCTTGGGAAAACTCTGGCACTTGTCCAAACACATGTCCCTGTAATTCATGACAAGAATTTGGACTTTAATCTGAGAAGGGTGGGAACCATTGTGGGACTCTGAGCAAAGAAGTAATGATCTGATTTATTTTTAGTTTTTCTTTGACTTTTTTTTTTGGTAGTTCTAGGAACAAATCCAGGGCTTCACATGTACTAGGCAAATGTTCTGCCACTGAGCTACATCACCAACCTTTATTGTTTTTAATAGAGCACTCTGACTGCATGGGAAAAGGTGACAGAGAGATGTGGGGTGACAGTTTGGCTAAGGCAGAGGTGATGGAGAGGGGGAGATGGGCTTGGCTTGTTGTTACATGTTGAAGGCCGAATTGACAAGGTTTATTTATAGATGGATATGGGAGAAAGAGGCATAAAAGTTGACTCTACATTTTCAGCTTGAACATCTGTGAAATGGAAGTGCTATTTACTGAAATAGGGACTTTGGAGAGGAGCAGTTTGGTATTGAAAATGGTTTATGGCCTTCTTGACCCAACAAGGATCACCTGACACCACGGTGAAGGGAAATTGGAACAGTGAGACGCCTGAGGTGTAACCATAGAAGCCACTTTATTTTTGTCCTCTGCAGTCCCTCTAAGCCTGTGGAGTGGGGCCAGTGCTTCCCTTGGGACTTGGGCAGGTTCTATGACTTCTGGTCTTGCAGTTCTGTGTTCACTTTGTCTTAGTTCAGTAACTCCAAACGCCCGGCCTATGTATTAATTTCAGTTCAACAATTTGAAGTGTTAGACCCAATATACTAATCCTCACTTTAATCTTCATTCAAAGGGAAGACTTGGCTCCCCTCTCCTTGCTGGGCCTGGAGGCAGGTGAGAATTTTTGGTGCAGCTGGGGATGTTAAACCACGACGCAAAGAAAAGACCACCAACTCCCATTTAAATCAAATTAAAGCAAGCTTGCAATTCCTACCGGCCGGGGCTGTCCCTCTGAAACCCTGGGAATAGAAGACAGCACCCCAGCTCTCTAGGAGCACAGCTTTATAGCACAGAAAGTTGCAAAAAGGCAGCGGCGGCGGCGGGGGTGGGGGGGTGTCTTGAGAACTTACAGATAACAGGATTTTGACAAGCATAACACAAAGGTAGGTAGTAGCTTAATAATCTAAATGGTCCAGCACTTAGGGAGTAAATTTAGATCCCAACATCAGAATTTATGAGGTGCCACTAGAGTTTCAGAGAGGGTCATTATCTGGCCAGGCAAAGCCAGGCATGGGTGATTTCAAGGCACGGGCCGGCATTCCAAGCAAGTTTAGAAATTGCAGTAATATATAGTAAAGCCGAAATTAACTTTGCATGCCTTTGAGATGAGGTGGCTCCCAATCTTAAGAGGTAATTAGGCTGGGTTTATCAGAGACCCTGTGCCAGCTCCCCCAGTCCTACCCCATGATGCTGCTTCTGCCACTGCTGGGCAGTGATGCAGCGTAGGGGAAACTAGATGCTGGTTTTGGAAGATGGCATCCCACCCTCCAGGTGGGGCCGACTTTGAAGCTGACTCTTATTGTTCGGGTTGTGGGGGTTCTCAGAGGCCTTCTCCCCTGCTTCCTGCTGGGTCCATCTGGTTGTCATTCCCTTGAGAAGGACAGCATCAGTCCTGGTCATTTTGACCTCTGCCCCTTTTTGCCCCTCATGACCAAATGCCTCTCTCTCTCTCTCTCTCTCTCTCTCTCTCTCTCTCTCTCTCTCTCTTTCGCTCTCTATGTCAAGATCCTTTAAAAACACCCCAGGGTGATATTTTTATTGCTACGTCTGCACCCCAGGATTCAGGCACTTCTAGAGAGGAAATGGTTACTTCCCTGTGCAAAACTGCTGTTGCTTGCTCATGTGTAAGTGTGAAACCCCTCTGGCTCCTGGGGTCACCTCAAGAGACTCCTGTCCCTACACTTGAAGTGACAGGCACCGCCCCCCCCTTTCTGTCTGATGTCTGGCGGGGGTGGGACTCACACAGCCCAGCCTCTGCCTTCCATACCCTGTCTGCCCAAGTCCTTACTCTTCGGGCTTTTGTGTTTCCGCCTAGATGAGGCTCCAAGAGTTGGGTAATGGATCCCCAGGTGATTCCCCCTGGAGTTTGCATCTGCTGATCTGTCTTCAACTGGCTTTGTTACTGTGCTGTGCTTTGGCACCTCCAGGGGGTCTCCTACTCCCCCTTTTCACTTCTTTTCTTAGTACAGCCATTTATTTTACAAGTGTATCAAGAATAGATGATATGCCGGATGTTATCCTGGGTTCTAGGGATAAAAGTGAACGAAACAAAGCCTCTGTGTGTGGTGGATTGAGTAGCACCCCCCTGCGA